TATGGGACCAGAAAAGCATGAGCTTGTAAGTTATTCCCATAATAAATCTTTGAATCTTTGCTTACTTTTACTGTTGCACGACTGTCGGCTAGTGGAGGATAAATCGGGCGAATAGAATACGATGCGTGGTCCGTAACACTGTTCGGGACCGTTTTAGTACTCGGAAGTAGGACGTAGGCTACCGATAACTCAGCTCCTAGTGTAAAAACATCAAATCCGCACTGTTTTTGAATGCTGCAGTCACTTGCTGGGTGAGGTTTTGTCTCATGCTGTTTCCCTTCTTGATTATGTTCAACGAAAGACCGATCATTCGGTTGGTCGACGACTCTTTCGTAAATGCCAGTTTGTTGTCACTAGCCGATCGTTGGAAGTGGATTGGCGGTCACATTTTAGTTTTTACTCTTCGGGGCCAACCTCGACGTTTCCTCTTTCTTTGTTAGCTTTTGCTCACCTGTTTCCTACATAGGTACCCAGTGATCCTTATGAGATTTCCAATTCTCAGTGATCCTTTCCCCCCAAACAGTTAATATATGAAACACTCTTCGATCCTGTCTTCCCAGCCATTCACAATCGTTCACTTTTTAAACTCAGAACCAATCGACTGTCTCCTACGTAAATGTTCCGCACATTCCGTTTTTTTCTGTTTTGACTATGGGTTCCCCCCCCCCCCCACAAATTGATATTCGGTCCCTTATCCGCGATCTGGGGGATGAACCCGATGGCAGATACTGATTGATCAGAAACCATTTGAACATTTCGCTGTCGACGAATGTTTTCACCTTCCAGCGTTTGAAATATACCATGATGCCAACTTATGGCGCTTTTTATTATCATGTCTCTGTGGCCTACTCATTCAACAGCACCTGTTTTTTTCTCACAGACATTCAGGAATGGTAGACATATCCTCAAGAAGAACCAATCATTTGATTGATTGTTGATAGCAGGCAGCCCCGCTGTCATCCGTCTACGCCTTATTTGGTTTGGCTGTGTGGTTTCGGGGCTTAGGTTTCTACGAGTCAAGCGGTGAAGATCATCAACTCATCGCCCAAGAGGATGTGTTTAAATCCCACCTCTACCACTGGAATTTTATCATTTTTTGTGTTGTATAGCAACCCTTTTAATTTGCCGCTTCCCCGTTCCCACAAATTGTATGTTCATTGGAAGGAAATAAGATGAAAGACATCAGTGAACAACAGACCCTCATAGCTATGTGGTTTACTTCGTCTGCTGTTCATCGCACACACACAACAGTATGTGATGAAAAACCGTTGGTACTAAGAGAGTCAGCGGTGTGATGAGGAAATGTACTTTATTGAAGTCTAATGCAAATGATATTTATTCACAAACAGACGTTATGTGATTCGCGTTCTGTAGACTGATCGTGGGCCAGTAATCCGTTTCTTCTGTCTATGTCTATTCCGTTGCTGATTCTCCCGTATATACAGTCTAATCGTTTGAGAACCCTGCATATTCTTAGCACCGAAGTAGAGATGTCAGGACGAATGTCTGTGTTGAGCACGGATGAACGTATTGTGCCACCCAGGGTCTTTCTTTGGAATATCACCGATGTCGGTCGAGCGGTGTACATCGCAGACACTTCATTCCGCTGTTCGTGTGCTAAAATCACTCCGCTTCCTAACAGCCTTGCGTGATCAGCTGATTTACTGATGATGGTACATAAGTCTATCATGTACAAGAATTTTTTCTCCACTCATTTGACTTGCTCAACTAGTAGTTCGCTAAGAATTAAGATGCTTTTCCAAGTATAAGATAATTCTAATATATAGAACGTCTTCCTCATGTATCCCGTTTTCGATCCGTGGTTCGTCATATTTTCATCGTTGTCCTACGCTTAAAGCTTAAAGGTACGGAGAAAGTCTGCGACTATCGAGAATGGAACCCCATCTGCTCCCGGTCAATTGGCACTCTTTGCACAGAATACGTCTCGCAGATGCGCAATGCTCTTTCAGCCCTACCCCTACCCGCTCCAGTGTATCGTTCCGATTCGATCAGTTCCTCCACATCGGATTCCCTATTCGCTGACGCTCGCGATGCCCGAAGCTCGACAGCCGCCTTCTCTCGTATCGAGACAATTTTCTCTTCTCTTGGATGTTTAGCAGCCAGCTGTCTCTCGGACGGGTACGTTCATGATTGTGTGTGTGCATCTTTGTGCAACTCTCAGCTCCGAAAGGTAAATGTTTTGTTTGAACGATGGTTAGTCGTGTAGGCTTTAGGCACATTCTCAAACCATTCGCGATCACATCAGTCATTCTAGTCATCAACACGCCAACAAATCAGGATGGTAAAAACGTACCTCACGCTAGTCTATATTAAAATCTACGATCCTCTTTGGAACTAACAGCAACCAAGCTCGATGAGTTTTTCTGTATATTCGTTCACTTGATGTAAAACCAACGGGCTTTACACTTGCAAGACATCGTCTATTACAGGACGATGTGATCCGATTGTTTCGGCGGCCAAAGGAAAGCCTCGTCGGTCATCACTCCACTTGTCTACTGAACTTCCGGTTGATTTCGACTGAATTCTCCGTACGATCGGGTTACGTGTCTTGTGCAGTTTCAGTTTTACTACTAACCAACTTTGATCGGTTGTACAAACTGAAACTAATACTAAAAGCAGTTTGGTCATTTCCCTTTGGGACTGTAGCTGTACATAGTGTTGGTGATGTCCGTCCGGGGATTGCGTCCTGAGGAAGCGCCTAATCATTTGACAGTTGAGTTGCGTGAAATCCTCTCCTCAGTTCTGCCAAACGATGAAATTGAAGCATTTTTTCAAAACATCTACTTCGTTTTTTCTTTCTTGTATTGCACTGGATCTGCAAACTCCCCGTGAAAGTAAGGAATCGATCAATTGGCTCTTGTGTACGCTCATATGGATTCAACCATTAAATAAAGCCAATTTCCTCTGCCTTTATCGTCGGCACTCTCACATATGTCCATCTATCTTTTTAGACACTTCAAAACCGGCCGAGAAGAACATGGTGTAGATTTGGATCATGCTCGAGATTTGCAACAAGAATTATTCCGGTTACTTAACGCAAAGCAGCTCAGTCGTCTGATATACAGGCTTTTTGAGCGTGTGCTAGACCCAGCGCGGAACAATTATCCTAGCGTGGAATGTTTGCGCGGTTTTGTCGTGCTACTCGTCTCAGATCTTCTGAACATACCTCGCCATGCCCCCGGTATGGGTCCCCCTACCTCACTTTCAAGCACCGCAAGTGGGCGAAGTGAGGGGAGCGGTCCAGGCAGTGGTGCCAGTGGTTTTCCAAGTCAGTCGACAGACGCGATGGACGTGGGTGATGAAGGCCCCTACGTGGTTTTACGTGCTATGGTTTCACCGCCCACCATGATCTTGAATGCTTTTGCTGCAGCCATCAACAAACTGGAACAGGCCCCGTCGAAAATTCTAGGTAATTATCGGTTTTTATGGTTCGTATTGTCAGCCCATTTTGAATTCTCGTACCACTGTTCATATATTCCGTCGCCTGTTTTTTCTGCGTGTCTTTCATGAAACGACGTCCTTTCCGAACATCTTTCTTTTTTGCTGTTACCTGCAGAAGATGGACCAACCCCTACTGATTAGTAATGTTTCTTCGACCTAGGGACGAGGAAAATTACAAAAGAAAACTTGGAACATCATTTCATTGATCAAATATTTGGTAAACAGTTAGTGTGCTAGAAAACGCGACGAGTCAAGTGCAGCAAAGCAAATCGGATTATACATGTGGTAGTTCATCGATATGCGCTCGTTGACTGGCTGTATTGGGCCCGGCTGTTTCTCACTGACCGCTGGTTTGCACTGTCCACTAATCGTTCTCGCGCAAGAGAGTTATTTTTTACTAAAATAGATGTAGCACAGCCATATCACGAAATCTTGTACACCCTCCGAAATATTCTCAAAGATCCGAAATCCTGGAAAAGTTGATGCACAAAATTCTTCTGATGCCATGACTTTCTCGAACTTATCCAATTGCTTTCTTTCTAATGCGAATTTTCGAGGATTGAATGAGCTTAACACGAAAAAGGAAGTCACAAATTTTTCATTGGACAACAAAACAAAATTCTTAGAGGTGTCTTTTTAGATTCCCAAATTCTCTACTAGATTCTGTTTATATTATCACTGGTGATTTTTCGTTACCTATTTTGCTATTTTAATTAGTTAGCAATGTATTGTAGCAACTATAATCGTATTGCGTGAAGCAAAATTGGGATTTGTGTGATAAAATGGTATGCGTTTTCGAAGCTTACAATGTATTATGTCAAGGGTTTCCGAAGTAGCAGGAGCTGGCACATGGGAAACGCTTTTTTCCACCATGGATGTCATAGACAATTTCAAAGAAAAGTGTGGTGCGCAATCCATGGCTCTCGAGTAATTGGACCTATGTTCTCACCCAACAAGGTGAATCCCTCAAGTTAGTTGAAAATTTTGGACCATACTGGGACCTTACCTCAATAGTTTCCACATGTCTCTTTGTCTAGGGTGTTATTCCAACAGGATGGAGCACCAACGCACAGCACAAAAGCAGCCACCGACTAGCTGTACAAAACTTCCCCGAACCAATATCTTGGACACCTCAGTCTCCCGATTAAACTCCACTGGATTACTTTGCGGGGGTTTATAACACAAAAGTGTGCCACCACAAACCGGAAAATTAAGATGAGTTCAGAACCAAAATCAGTATCGTGTTCCAAGAGATTCCAACGTCTACCCTGGAAGTAGATCTTGCAGCTTGTGGGTATCATAATAAACTGTTTTACGTTGTATTCATCCTCAAGGATTGTATGTGACCAGTTCATGCCTGTAGGGTTGAACATCTAGTTTGTCTGCTCAGACCGCTTTCATCTTACCATCGAGCTGATCTTCTCGAATTGTATTTTCTCAACATGCAAGGCACTACATCAACGCCAAAACTTGCATTTGCCATCGAAACAAACGACAGCAGTTTTCCTCTATTATCACCCCATTTTCGCTTCAAGGAATACGACTACAGTTCTTACAATATGTTACTAACTAATTAAAATAGCTAAATAGTTTTCAGTAAACCATCACTGATCCTATTAATGGAATCGAGTAGAAAGTTTGGTCCTACAGGTTGGGGGTTCCACTCAGTCAGTAAAATGGTAGAGGAGTAATTGATCCAAGTAAATGGGCCTCTACTTCGCTTTACCCGCTGCCTTGCGGTTAGGTTCTTGTTAGAACTAAGGGCTGCGGACGAAAACCCTAATCGTTCTCCTGCTTAGTGGCTGGACACCCTGGCAGTACCCGTCCAAACTCAAACGCATACACAAACAAAAAATAATTCCATACTGCATCGGTCGTCGCACAGGATAATCAGGACCGCACTGCACATTGCCTCGAGTGGGGTGGGTAGTGATAAGTGAACTACTGCTCAGATATCCCAACCTTTGTTTAACTCGTTTTCTTTCGTACCCAACCCTCTCCCTTTATCCCTTCTTCCGACCCCTAACATTCCCTCACACAACATTTTCGTCACTTGCCAAAGTTCGTCGCCAAGTAGCCCGGTACGTAGTTTACCACAAAATAGATTGCAGATTCTGAAGCCTCGTCAGTCACTGAATCTGGGGGCCTTCAACTTGAGGACTCTGATGCAGGGAGGTCAACAAGCGTGTCTGGCGCATACAATGGACTCTTTAGGGATTAATGTCTGCTGCTTATCAGAGACTCGAATCCAGGATCCTAGTACTGTAAGCCACTTAAATGCACCAAGGTTATCTTCGAGCTTTTTCCTCCGTACGTCAGGTGATGACGAAGTCCTTTTAGTAGGCCGGTGTGGTGTGGGCATTGTACTCCATAACAGCCGACGCTGCACTACTCCATTGGATCCCCGTCAACAGTAGCTTATGTGCGATGCATCTCCAAGAGTTCATCTTCTTCCGGAAGCGAAGCAACACTAAAAGGTGTTTGTTCATCATTTCAGCGTATGCACCAACCAACTGCAGTTCTGACTCACAAAAGGATGAGTTTTATGACAGACTCACCGAACTCATTCGGTTGAACCAAAGCTCCCATATAGTTGTTCTCGCAGGCGATTTCAACGCTCAAGTTGGAAAACTGAGCCCCTGGGAAGCTTGCCTAGGTGGCCATTGTGCTCTACCTTGCCAGGGAACAGATAACGGTGATCGACTTCTTCAGTCATGTGTAGATCATCTGTTCCTATCCAGCACCAACCTCCGACACAGCTCTCAACGGACAGCAACGTGGCGCTCAAATTCAACTGACACGCTAACTCAGATCGACCACATAGCAGTAAGCTACCGTTGGCGTGGCTCAGTACAAAACTGCAGGTCCTGTTGGACCACCTGCGTTGAATCTGATCATGCAATTCACTTTTCAACTCACTGGTCACAGAAAACCCCACCAACCTCGATTGGCAGATCATCGCTTGTCTGACTCAGGTGTTCGTGCCTGTTTTGAATAAGAACTAGGGTAAGAGCTAAACGCGCTGCGGGATGGTATTGTAGATGAAACTGGAATCAGATTAGCCGAGCAATGCACTTCGCATCGATCTGGATCTGAAGCGGTGGCCTGCCCGAAGCATTGGATATCTGATCAGTCAGTAGCACTGATGAAGAAAAAGCGGCAAATGCCGATCGTCCGGGATCAATGTGGGGTTATGTGGCGTCTGCAACGTCAACACAGGAAGAGAGTCCCAAGTAAGACGGTGAGAATTGGTGGCCAACGATGGATAGTGAAATGGAGGTAGCAGCTGCATTAGGGAATAGTCATTGTTCCAACTGATACGCAATACGGGAGGTCAGCAAACCACAGTTAGTGAAACAATCTGTAACAAAACTGGATAAGCTATTCACAATAGGGGACAACAGCTTGACCGGTGAGCGGAGTACTTCAACGAACAGTTTAGCTGGTCAGGCGCTAACCAGACTATCTCCTTCAGTGTAGCTGAGGCTCCGTGAGTAGTGTCATCTGAACCTCCTACTGCAGCAGAAGTTTGTTCTTACGCCCATGCCCTGAAGAAAGGAAAAGCAGCAGGGTCTGACGGGCTTTCTCCCACTCTTTTCAGGATGGGGTGGGGGGGGGCGATTACCTCATAGACTTCATTACCGTTATGATGCGTAAAATCTAGTCACATGAGTGCATTCCAATTCTTAAGAAGTGATCTCGCAAAGATTGCGCAAATCACCGTGGAATAAGTTTGCTCCTAATCTTCCCTAATCTACTAACCTCCATCATACTTCAACGTCTGACACCGTTCAGGGAGACAAACATCCGCGGAAAACACGCAGGATTTCGACCACATCACGGTTGTATCTATCAAATCTTCACTCGGCATCAAGCCCTCGAGCTACGTACGCCATACGCACCGTCGACCAGTGGTTGTCGTGTTTCTCGACCTAAAAGGAGCCTTCGACTCAGTTGATCATGTATCCCTTATGGGTTCGCTCCTTCGCAAAGGAATGCGGCAGAAGTATGTGAACATACTGAGTTCACTCTACCCGCATACCTCTGGTAGCGTAAGGGTCTACGACGAACTGTGTAATTCGTTCATAACGAGGAGCGATGTTCTTCAAGGGTGCCCTCTTTCGCCATTCTGTTCAATTTCGTCATAGACGAAATATTAGAGAGCAAATTAAGTTATCTCCAAAATGTGAGTATTGAATGGGTAGCCTGAGGAAAGCTGTGCAACTTGGAATACGCTGACAACATGTTTTGTCAGTTTGAATCTATAGAGGATGCACAAAGAGCACTTGACAGATTAAGAAGTCTTGTCACTCCGTTCGGCATGTGTTTTGCACCTTCAAAGTGCATAGTGATACCACAAGACTGGGTGTCGCCGAATTCTGTTCTGAAACTAGACGGTCAGGAATTAGCTGAAGTTGACTGCTTCTTGTACTGGGGTAGTTGCGTTACCAACGACGACAGCGCATCAAAGGAAATAACCACCAGCATTTCCAAGGCTCGAGCAGCGTACGCAGGACTTAAACACCTGTGGCGACGTGACGTTTCACGGAAGCTGAAAAGTTGCGTATTCTGCGCCAATGTGGGATCCGTTCTACTTTACGGTTGTGAGAAATTAAATTTGCGAGTAGAAGACATCCGTCGCCTAGTGGTTTTCGACAATTGATGCTTACGTAGTTTGGCGCTGGTGGGATGGAGTAAGTGGGTTAGTGACCAAGAAATAAGTCGTCGGGTGCTTGGGAATGCATCGAGCAAGAACTCGCTAGCGCATTGAATCCAGCTCAATAGGATCCCTTGCGTAGGTTCGACAGTCGCCTACCGCAGCGCGCCTTATTCGCAGTGGCTGTTGCAAGCTAAAGAAAGCCATGTGGAGACCAGCAAATGACGTGGAGACGACGCATGAAGGAATGCACAGAGCGATGAGGTAGAGTAGGTGTTTCTCGTCTTCCGGGTTGGGGTCCAAATGACTCCAAAACCGCATGAGTGGAGACACTGACGTTCATGGCTGCGAAACAACAGCAATGGCGATCTTGCTATCACTTCCTATCAGACCAGAATGCTTGTTATAGTATGTAGACACAGTTGGACTATGTATTCTGTGTGTTGACCATAGAAATTCGCTTTCTTTTCCCATCCTCTGAGGT